CAGTAAAATGCAAGCGAACTGATTAAACATGCTAAAATAAATAGATTTCTGTTGAGTTTTGAAATGTTTATGATTACAGTTTAATAGGTAGTTACAATTTGTCCTAAAAAATCTGAAAAATGCCTGACTGGTCCAATATCATCATTTGTCTTGCCTTAACCTGTTTCTTGTGGAACGTTCACAGTAACATTAACAAGCTTGTGGGATCGCTGGCTAACAGACCTGACTGAAGACTGAAGACTGGATTACCCATAATGCTCCACAAGCCATGCCTCCATAATTTATCGCAGCAGCCCGAGGTCACTTTCGCTGTAAACATGTTTCGAGGGTGCTGCTTATGAAATATCTATAGAGACGACCGGCAGAAACGCAGCACTGTATGTTCTGACTCCTTATTTATTTTGCAGCTTGTGTGTTTTTATGGCTCTGAACTGTGAGGGAATTCTCCAGAGGAGCAGATCGACGCTGATGCAGATGAAAACGCTCTTCTGCTGCTTGATGGAGCGTCATAAGCTGCTACTGGCATTCCACCAGCCCTCAAACATCAACAGCACGGAGGAGATCTGGAAGATCTGAGAACATCTCATGCAGTAGCTTCCTGCTCCAAATTGAAGTTTGGAAGATGAAAATCATAGCACCATAATTTTATTTATTCACATACTTTATATCTGTAAAACAGCCTCCCCAGCAAGAGGGCCAACATACAGCGGTAAGAAAAAATTCTTAGAGAAATTACGGCTTTTATGTATAAAGTCATCTTAAAATATGGTCTGATCTTTACATTAAATAACAAACACAGTCTGTTTAACGACACAAAAATGATGCGCTGGTTTATATTAAATACTATTGAATCATTCAAACATTCACACTGAGTGTGTTTACATGCATTTAATAATCCGATAACTGCAGAAAATCAGCAGTAATCCAATCAACGTGTTTACATGCACCTAAGTAATCAGATAATGGGGAAACTCCAGGTCTACATGAGTCAGACAGTAATCGGATTTCTGCTTTACAACCAGCCAATAAACTCACAGAAGAAGACGTGACGCAAACGTAACATAAAACACATCGCGCCACTTTACCTGAAAATATGAACATACATCATAGAAAAGATGAAGAATATTTAAATCCTTTATTTCGTCAAGCATGTATTTGGTTTCAGTGCCGCTCCAAAAGTGTTTTGCTGCGTCTCGCGGCGACGCTGCTCACTTATTTCCAGTACCGCAGTCTGTTTTCGCACATGCTCAGACTGAGAAATCAAAAGAAATCAGAGTCAGTTTACATGCACTGAGAAATCTGATTACTGAGCTAAAATCCAGCCTCTTTATCAGATTTTTAAATCAGATTTTTAGACCTCACTCTTATCTAAGACATCAGAGTGTGCTGTTTACATGACCATTTGAATAATCAGATCACTGCAGAAATCCTATTATGATCTGAGTGCATGTAAACACACTCACTGTATGGTGGAATAAGTATCTCAATTCCGAGGCTGATGATGTCAGGAAAAGCTAATTGGTGTCAAAAGTGAGCAAACCTGCTGTCCACTCACTGTAATGAGATTGGAGGTGTGGGCTGGAGCACTTTGCACTGCAAAAAAGTTTCACACAGAATGTAGACGGACACACGAATCCACCAGTTCCCCACGGTGAGAGGCAGATGACGTGTATCTCAGCCCCTCTTCATAGGCTCATAACTCTGGATGTGAGTCTCGTATGATCTCGTGATAAGATAGAATGGAAAGGGCGACTCTACAGATTCAGGAAGTGTTTGAACTGGATTTCTGAGCTGGATCATCACAAAGAGACACAAACAGATATAGAAACTGAGAATTTGACACATTGGACAGTTCATGGAGGGTTAAAGCTGTTTACCTTGACAGGAATGTTTATATGCTCAGAATTGACCGAGACTAAGGCCGTGTTCAGACTGCCAGCCCAAATCTGATTTTTGTCATATCCAGATTGTATCCAGATTGATTTTTGATTGTCCGAACAGCAAAAACAAATGAAATTTGGAGGTGGTTTAAAATGCGACTCCAGTCAGATTTTTAGTCTAAACACGGCCTAAATCTCCACAGGTGGTTGGTACTGCAACAGAGGGGGCGCCAAAGAGCGCTGAAGCTCAAAACCAGGGATCACCATTCAGACAGAGGACAAACAAGAAGGAGGCGATGACAAATACAAGCCAAAGTGGTTCATATGTTTACTTAGTATAATCTCACTGTACCAGTCGACTCCTCCCCTTTCTACCTGGACCTGGACAGGAGTGTCTGAGCACCTCTGCAGTTAGCGGTTAATTCTCTGAAAGGGGTGTTCTGACCGGATCTCGGAAACACTGACGCTCCTCTCGGGGAAGCAGGAGGGCTGCAGGGTTTGGTCTGGTGGTGTGACATGTTTGAGTGATGTTTCTGCAAATTGAGGTCAGTGCTGCCACATTGGTTCCCCAAAGCTGGATCATCTGTCACCACCTCAATCCTAACCAAGGTCTCCAGCAACGAGCGAGAAGCTGAAGTTCCGTTACAACTGAACTCGTCACTTCAAGGATGTGAAAATAACGTAATATAAAATGTGAGAAAAGCCCTTTGAGACACGTCGACCTGCGCTGGATTCTTTTTAAGGTCCAACGTGACGGCTCCTGTAATACACTGGCTGAATATGCCAGAACGCTCCCTCTCCATGGTGGACCACTCCTGAAACATCTACACACAAAAGCAACTTGTTTGAGATGGCAATAATAATAGCAATAATAATAATAGCAATAATAATAATAATACATCTGTATTTATACAGGAGTGGAGCAGTGTGTGAACCCCAGTATTCGCGGGGGTCCCGTGTTGTCTGTCTGCTAACTCTCTCTCCATAGCGCTGCTGGTGCTTCAATGTCAGTAAATGTTTGTTTTATCAGCTGTTCTTCTGTAAAGTCTCTGTTCTAGTGCGGTTCTGCGCTCTTCCTCACAGTAACTGAGATCTTCCTCGTCTCCTCTTCTGTAGAGTCTCTGTTCTAGTGCGGTTCTGCGCTCTTCCTCACAGTAACTGAGATCTTCCTCGTCTCCTCTTCTGTAGAGTCTCTGTTCTAGTGCGGTTCTGCGCTCTTCCTCATACTAACTGAGATCTTCCTCGTCTCCTCTTCTGTAGAGTCTCTGTTCTAGTGCGGTTCTGCGCTCTTCCTCACAGTAACTGAGATCTTCCTCGTCTCCTCTTCTGTCTTCAGTGTGAGAAATGAGGAACAGTCACTCTTCACTCCAAACTCTTGGGAAACTGGGCGAGTTTTCAGATTTACAGATCTGCTGCAGCTCATTGGAAAGTTTTTCAGAGGAATCTGGGCAGAGTTACAGTTTCTAGGCTATGAAGGACTGACTGGGTGAACCAGTCTGCTACAGCGCCACCCTGAGGCAGAGCAGTGCTGCAGCTCTAGTTAGTTAAGAACACCAGAGACAGAAGCTGATTGTGGGGGAAGCACATAAATAATGAGCTTCACTGAGTCTGGATTTGAGTGTCTTTTTTCCCCTAGCGGCATCAAGTCTATTTCCAGGGACTTTTCTTGGGAATTTTGATTTTGAGACATTCAGGGGGTTCAAGAGGTTAATGAGGGGGTCCCCAGGACTCACTGTATTTCTCACTTTGGGGTGGAAAGAGTACTGAAAAGCTCTACTTAAGTAAAAGTGCTGTTGCTGTGGTGATAATTTATAAGTAAATTAGAACCTTTTTGAAAAGTCTGTAGTTACAACTTTGACATCGTAACAATACTAGAACCCTTTTGGGGCTTTATAGAACCATTTTCAAAAAGGTCCAGTATAGAACCATTCCATGGGGAATGGGAAAACTGAGCCACCAGTTGCTGCACTATTTAAGGTGGAATGGGAACATTCAAACAATAAGCTGTCGACTTCAGCCTTGTTCATCTTCAGTTACCTGGTTTTGCTGTTACATTACTGATTACATGTCAATTCAAACAGGACTGCTATTGTTGAGGGAACTCCATGTTTGGTGAATTATAGAAGGTAATTCACTCCAGAATTATTACTTTGCAGGCTGGTAAAAAGTTCAGACAGGGCAGATTCGTACTGGATTAAAATCACAGATCTCTTTTGTAATCACTCAAAATACAGCACGTCCCCATGTAATACTAATCCAGCTCAAATAGGGCTCACTTTCTCCCCTTTTACGCTGATTAGTTGGTGATGGTCTGTCAAGCAAGACATAAACCAGGCAAAACTTTCACACCTGTCCAGTAAAATATCACAGTGAACTGTACTGGAAGCTGTACTCAAATCCAGCAGCACTAGAAGAGAGTGCTTTCTGAGACAAACCCAGTCCACGCCTTCCTGAGAGATTCCACGCTGGAACACTGTACCTGTGGCTCTGGTAATGATCTTTTTGAAATGCTTGGTTTAAAGTAATAAATCACAAAATTAGTGATTAATCCTGATTGTGTTTCAGCATTTTGAGGATATATGTGTCCTATATTATCATTATTATTAGTTATCCTATGTTAGTCGACAGTGTTTTTCATTTAGCACCAATGTGGTTCTGCACTGTTCAGGAGAAAAGCCTGTAAAAGTGCTCCATCTGTCAGACCAGCAGGTGGCGCTCCAACTGCAGGAGCAGCGACACCAGCGCCATCTGCTGCAGGAACTTTGGGGATTTTGGGGTCCTCCCACTGTATCTTACAGAGACCAGTGTTCTCTGATCACTATAGAACCCATCGGTCCTCTAACGTCTGCAGTTCTGGGGAAAAGCTCTCTCTCTCTTTCTCTCTCTCTGTCTCTCTCTATCTCTCTCTCTTCCACTCCTTTCTCTCTCTCTCTCTCTCTTCTCCTCCTTTTTATCTCTCTCTCACACACACACTCTCTCTCTCATCCCTTTCTCTCTCTCTCTCTCTCTTCCCCTCCTTTTATCACTCTCTCGCTTTCCCTCCCCTCTCTCTCTCTGTCTCTCTCTCTCTCTTTTCCCTCCTTTCTCTCTCTCTCTTTGTCTCTCTTTTTCTCTCTCTCTCACTCCCTTCTCCCTCTCCCCACTCCTCTCTTAATTTTCCCACATTCTTTCTCTTTCTTTCCCACTTTTATCTCTGTACATCTCTTTTCCTTCCCTGCCAATATCTGTCTCTTCCCCATTCCTCTCTCTCTTTCCCCTCCCTCTCTCTCCATATTTTCCCCTCCCTCTCTTTCCATATTTTCCTCTCCCTCTCTATCCTGTAGAGCGCAGACGCTCCTCCTGCTAACTCTCTCTCTCTCTCTCTCTCTCTCTCTCTCTCTCTGAGTGTTGGTGGTTGAGAGTTTAGCAGTCTGTGCTGTTTCTCTCTCTGGACTCAGTGATGTTCTGGCGGTCCGGTGCAGCGGAGCGGGAGGAGAGAGAGAGAGCGCGGTAAAGAGTAATAGAGAGATGATGGTGGGGGTACTCTGTGCTCTCGGGCTGCTGCTGCTGTCCTGCGGTGGTGAGGAGCTCCGGACGGAGAACTGCAGCTCAGCAGTCAGCATCTGGACTGACCTCGGGATCACTGCGGAGCACACCCCGGAACACACACTCACAGGTACACACACACACAATGGGGGGATTCAGGGGGAGTCGAGCTCCAGCAGGCTGACCACTGCCGGACATGCCGGGGGGAGTGTATGACCTGAGGCAGGAGCACACCTGAACACACTAAACTGAACTACAGGTCAGTGGTCACTACATGCTGACCCCAGCAGTGACATCTCTGTATCTCCTTCACAGAAAACATGTTTGACAGAAAGTTACAAAACAGCCTCGACAGCTAACTCTACTCTCGGCTGTGAGTCAGTGAGTCACTCTTTCCCTTTATTCCAGCTGCCATTCTTTCCAGGAGACTCACTTTCAGCTCCTCAAAGAATCTGCAGACACACCTCCAAAGTTCAGTTAGAAGCTGGTTGATCATTTTCTGAAGTAATCAAACACATTCAGTGGTGTTGAGGTCTGGACTCTGGGGTGGTCAGTCCATCGTTCAGCTTCTTTGTTTGATGTGTTCGTCTCCTTTTCTCAGTGAGGTTCTTCTTGATCAGCTACACATCCTTTCAGACCCACAGCGCTGAGTCGTCTTCTCACAGTGGAAGGATGGACAGAAACCTGTGGATGTTTTCAGATCTGAAGCAGCTTGATTTTCTCCTCTCTCTCAGAGATGAAAGCTTTAAGTGCTGTTTATCTGATGGGGGGGGGCAGTTTTGGGGTCTAACAGGTCTTGCACGGCTGGTAAGAGTCACATATTCTCTAATCATTTTTTAGACTTTTGCAGTTGTATTATCTCATATCTCATCTTGTGTCAGTAACTCTTCTGGGAGCAGCTGTTGTTGGGTGGATACAGCTGATGCAGCTGAGACTCAGTAGTTTCCAGATTAGAAGTATAGAGGAGTTAAAGTGGCCAGTAGGACAAACAAACAGAGGACAAATGGAAAACTGAGAGGTTTGATATTAGGCGTCTGAGTAATGAGTAAATATATGTTATATATTACTGTTGGCCAGGAAAGTAAATACATCAAAGGTGGTACATATATATATATATATATATATATAAATGTGTGTGTGTGTTATATGTTACTGGTCTATATGGGAACTTTGTAATCATTTATTTGAGCTGTAAGTGTGTTTTTGCCTGTGAGAACTCTATATACACTATATAACACAAATACACAAAAACAGTAAATATTGTACATAATATTAGAATGAATACAAATAAACATAAATACAGTAAAAAACAATATAACATAATAGATACAAATAAACATAAATACAGTAAAAATACCATATGACATTAGAATAAACACAAGTAAGCATAAATTTAGTGAACACACTGCGTAACATTAGAATAAATACAAATAAAAATATAAATAGAGTAAAAATACTATGTAATATTAGAATAAATTCAAATAAACAAATACAATAAACACACTACATATGATCAGAATAAATACACATAAATACAGTAAGCATTATACATAATATTAGTATCAACACACAAACTTGAATCATTAAAAACAATAACAGAATACATACAAATACACATAAATACAATAAACACACTGTAACATTAACATAGATACAAATGAACATAAATACAGTAATAACACCACATAACAGAATAAATACAAATAAACATAAACTGAGTAGTAGGTAGTCAGAATTATACTTAATATAATTCTGGTGTATATATATATATATATATATATATATATATATATATATATATATATATATATATATATACACCTCGTATTTCTAAAGATGGTAACCTTAACAGAAGAAAAAAACATTCTGAATTTTTAATGTCAGTGAATGTAAAGCGGTTTTGTTCTCAGTAATTCTGAATTATTGCTCGTGTTGGTCGTTCATCATTACATGTTCACACAGTGTTAAACTGCAGCCAGTGTTCAAAACTGTAGGAAATAAAATGACTGTACAGTGAGGTTTCACTGCTCAGTGATGACAAATATATCACAAAACCTTGTATCTCCACTTTTCTTTATTCATTTATTTATGATATATTTTTTACAGAGTTTGAAAGTGACAGCTGTCCTTTACTCTGTGTTAATATTTCATTCTGAATGGACCAATAGCAATGCTCCAAAATTACTTGGAATTAAAATCTTGTTCCATTAACTTCATTCAAATGTAAAAACATTTTCTCTTCTCCTGTAAAGTCACCGTTCTGCTCTCTGAGCCATGAAGTCAGAAGTATTAGCACCCCCGGTGATGATCGTCTTTGTTAATCAGTCACTGAAAATAGGAATCTGACCTTTTGGTGAGGTCAACTTATATTATTATTCATTAAAAATTAAATTATTCCATGGCTTAGACTGCCGCAAACATGCATTAAACAGTGAACATATGGATTAGTGCTGTAAATGTATTAAATATGTGTCAGTTTAAGTTTAATATCAGCTCTGAAATTCTGCAGTGCGCTAAACATCAAAGAAACACATGCATAAATAATACAGTGAGCCAGACTAACCATCCTGATATTTACTTTCACTAAATTATAGCCTCTAAATTACAGCCATACATGGATAATATAATAATAATAATAATAATAATAATAATAATAATAATCAAAATAATAACAGTAGTGTAATTATTATTATTATTATTATTATTATTATATGAAAGTATAGCCTTTTAAATGTAAATGTCAGACCACAGGAATTTAATTCATTTATTTAGCATATTTTACCAATTCCAGAAAAAGCAATGTAGTAACATTTGCAGTCTATATAGTCTGTACTATATATTTGGGTGTATACATTCATATTAGTTTTCCAAAAAAAATTATAAAAACAGAAAAAAATATATATATATATATATCACAGTCCATTTTTTAAATGTAAAATGTTTGCTTTTACCATTTTAGACTTTAGACAACTAATATAAATTTATATACCCAAATATATATATTGCAATATATATGTTCAGAATTCTTTTGGTGTTGTTGTGGTTTATGTTTGGTGGATTCTGTCTGTCAGTAAACAGTCACAGTCACTTCAGTCCACAGTGCAGGTCAGAGTGTGTAGCCGACACTGAGGTCAAATAAAACACACAGTGAGTTAAATCTGTCCGCTCTGTTCATCGCCTCCTTAATCAGGAGTGAAAACCCTGTGAAAGTTATTGAGCGCAGTTTTAGCAGGTTTGTAATTTCAGTCTCTCCACAGTTCCGGGTCCTGCAGGTGAACCTGATCTGTCGCTGAGTTACATGGGAATAAAGAATCGTTACAGTAGTAATACTGTAGTTATGGACGGTGAACTGAGCAACACTGAACTAGTAAACAGTAAAAGCAGAACTCGCCACCAGAGACGGCTGTGAGGGACGCGTTGTAATTCCTGATTTTGCGCAGTCGCTGTGGGTCCGGTTAGCTGCTGTATTCCTGCATGATGTCACGCTGTACTTTAATCACTCTGGAGTGACATCACACTGAAACCTGAGAGCAGCAGGAAATTAATGTCTATTACATCCAGCCAGGGGTCAGATTTAATAATCAGCGATTCTCCCCGTGGGTCTCGTCTTTATGTGAGGCTCTGTGAAGATGAGAAACACAGGAAATAATCTGGGTTCATTTTGCGGAACGCTGTAGGATGAAGCTCGGATTCAGGACACTGTGTGATGTTCGTGGTCTCGAAGTGTGAATTCAAGTGAGATATTAAACGTCACATTAGTTTCCTTTTTTGGAAAAGGAAAATAAAAGCGAGACTGGAGAAAACAGTGAAATCTGTTTTTAATTATCAGACTGATGTAAAAATATCATCACCGTTTTTCAACATTTCTATTCATTTCCAGTTATTATTTTATGGTGAGCTGGTCTCACTGCGATATGAAGCAATGTTTTGTGTTGGATTAAAATCACTCAAGGTTAGTTTATGGTCTGCTGTCCTGTAAGAAAGATTGGCAGCAGTGAGAGTCTGTAAGTACCACAGCTATAAAATAAGCTAAGTGCCACAGTTAAAAGCAGAGTGCAACAGTTATAAGCTAAGTGCCACAGTTATAAACTATCACAGTTATAAGCTAAGTGTCACATTTATAAGCTAAGTGTCACAGTTATAAGCTAAGTGCCACAGTTATAAGCTAAGCTAAGTGTCACAGTTATAAGCTAAGTGTCACAGTTATAAGCTAAGCTAAGTGTCACAGTTATAAGCTAAGTGTCACAGTTATAAGCTAAGCTAAGTGTCACAGTTATAAGCTAAGTGCCACAGTTATAAGCTAAGCTAAGTGTCACAGTTATAAGCTAAGTGCCACAGTTATAAGCTAAGCTAAGTGCCACAGTTATAAGCTAAGTGTCACAGTTATAAGCTAAGTGCCACATTTATAAGCTAAGTGCCACAGTTGTAAGATAAGTGCCACAGTTATAAGCTAAGCTAAGTGTCACATTTATAAGCTAAGTGCCACAGTTGTAAGATAAGTGCCACAGTAATAAGCTAAGCTAAGTGCCACAGTTATAAGCTAAGCTAAGTGCCACAGTTGTAAGCTAAGTCTCACAGTTATAAGCTAAGTGTCACAGTTATAAGCTAAGTGCCACAGTTATAAGCTACGCTAAGTGCCACGGTTGTAAGCTAAGTGCCACAGTTGTAAGCTAAGTGCTACAGTTATAAAATAAGTGTCCCAGCTATTAGCTAAGTGCCACAGTTAAAAGCAGAGTGCAACAGTTATAAGCTAAGTGCCACAGTTATAAACTAACAGTTATAAGCTAAGTGTCACAGTTATAAGCTAAGCTAAGTGTCACAGTTATAAGCTAAGCTAAGTACCACAGTTATAAGCTAAGCTAAGTGTCACAGTTATAAGCTAAGCTAAGTACCACAGTCATAAGCTAAGCTAAGTGTCACAGTTATAAGCTAAGCTAAGTACCACAGTTATAAGATAAGCTAAGTACCACAGTTATAAGCTAAGCTAAGTACCACAGTTATAAGCTAAGCTAAGTGTCACAGTTATAAGCTAAGCTAAGTACCACAGTTATAAGCTAAGCTAAGTGTCACAGTTATAAGCTAAGTACCACAGTTATAAGCTAAGCTAAATACCACAGTTATAAGCTAAGC